CAAATGTACAACGTTTTTCGACAAGGTTTTGTCATCATCAGGTACATTTGCTGTTATGTTGAACTTATATTAAAGTTTTTCTTCATTACCCATTCAAGCCGTCTCCAGCCATTATTAGTCTCAAAGTGGGTTCCTCGTCATCGAACTAGAGCCAGAAAATAAACATGAAGTATGATGTAAAATGAGAAAACATGAAGAGAAGAGAAAGAATGAATCACATAACAAGACAAAAGAAACAAGAAGTTTTTTCTATTTATTGTTAAAGCAATGACAACACTAACACAACAAGTGTAGTATAAAGTTCAAAACAATAATAATTTGTTTCAACAATTTCAGGTAGTGCTACATTGTTAGAAGGTCAACACTTAGTTAAAAAGATTAGACTGGTGACCATGTACTAAATACATGTATACAGCCAGGATGCACCAGAATAAACAAAAATACGATGTCTTACTATGTAGCGTAGCAACTAAAAAGAAAAATTATTCTGAAAAGAACTGGAAAGATTGTATAATGCTTTTTCAGCAGTCCTATTACACATTCAACATGAATATGAACTAAAGATATTCGACTTGTTATTAGTGCAATTGAATACACAACAATTCTTCTTCACCTTTGCAGGTTTGAAAAAAACAAAAGATCATCAAAAACACAAAGAGTCATTATGAATACAAGTCTAGACAGCAGGAAAGTATACGGAATGAACAGGATCTCCTCTTCGTCGCAAAATTTGTTTGCCTCAGTTGCTCAGCACACATTGCATTGTGGAAGGGCAAAGTTCCTGGATGTCGAACCCCAAGAATGATTAATTATTAATATTCTGAATTACTCTTCATTAAAATACAATATCATTGCATAACCTACAATGTTTCTTGTCTTCATATGGCATCTTACAATATTAGGGGTGCATATCTCATAATAGTAGTCGATACGATACATATATAGATAGATACAGAAGATTAATTAATATTTTATTACAAAGTTTGACAGTCTTGTCTGTAATTTATTATCTATATTACTAACACTGTCTTATTCAAGCACTTCACACTTTACAGTGCTTTTTCAAATTCTCAGGTCAAATTCTATGGCCAGAGATGTAAAATAAGAAACGTTAATATCTATCTATTTTGTTATTGTTAATTTGTTATGTTACTATGCATGTAATGTTTTTGATAAAAGAAACAAAGACAACATGTAGTACTCAATACTCATCTTCCTGTATTGAATCATTAATTTTTAGTAAAAATTGTTTATTAGAAATTCTGTACAAAAACTTATAATTTTTACTGAAAGCTTGCCAAATTTCGTGAAGATGCATAAATCATATTGTATCAGATGACGTATCGATACAATCTTATCACAGCTTTGCGATAAAATACTCATATTGTATCACCACACCTTTATAGTTTACACAATTTGATGTCCCATATAAATGACTGTTAAATTTACTGTAAGTTGTAACTAAATTCTTGCCAATATTAATATCACTACCCTTTTCCGATTATTGATACTGGCTACTGCTAACATTAACACAAGTAAGAAATTAAAAAGTAGTAATACTAATACTAGTAGTAGTAGTAATAATAATACGATTACCCTAACATTTACTTTGGGCTATAATAGTAATACGATGAATTTCATATACGCATACAGTAAGAATTCACACTACAACTAAATAACTAAGTTACTATTATTATTACTGCTATTTCTAGTAGAAGTAATACTAATAGTAACTAACACTAATAAAGATATACTATAGTAGTAGTAGTAACTAAGTGCGAGTTCTTACTTTTAATTTTATTTTTAAGCTTGTTTTCCTCACATAACTTCTTCTACAAGTAAGCTATAAATTGAAGTGAATTTTGGGCATTCAGTAAAGCATCCAATATCCACTTTAAAGAAAATGTATGTGTATAAAAATACTTAATGTTATTGTTATGATAACACAGAGTATAAATAACGTTGGTTACCTATTTCTTTCCCCTACTTTTCTCTTGCTGCGATCTGAAGCTAGCAACGCCATCCTAAAAGATATTACGATAAATTAAATAGAAAATATAATTATGAAGTCTTCCATTTTTAACAATATAACTTAAATATCATGTCATGTCTATTAATTTAATTTAATACTATAATATTATAAATTACCTACTTTATTATAAAAAGGATGTCGAAGTTTAAAGTAAAGTAATTATTGTCATTCATTATCCAGTGGTAGTATTCTCACATCAAGGGGCATCCTTGTAATACTTGCTACATAAGAAAAGACCCCGGCGGATCAACAATATTTTTATCGACTGACAACGTAAAAACTTGGGGTTCGATTCCACGCGGTGGACAGAGCGCAAATAGCCCAAATAACAGCTTTACGCTTAACAAACAAAGAAGTCATTACATAAGAAAATCGTGGAAACGTCCTTCTACACTGTCAGTTAACTTACTTCAAAGAAAATGCTTTAGTATAGTATTTAGTATGTATAACTAAAACTTTTTACAAAATAAAATTATTTAATTAAAAGTTGGTCAGGGATGTAAAAATTATACCATTTTTTCAGCAGTAAAAGTTGATATTGTATGAGAATTATGAATATAACAAAATAAATATTAAATTATTAAGTTAAAGTTCTCACTCTGTAAGATGAACAGCCAAGAATAACAATGAATTCTTACATTTAATGATATTGATTTATGTCATAAGGATAAAAGGTTCAAATCAAAAGAAAACGGCCTATTAATATAACAGTAATTTTTCCAATACTTTTAAGAGTTCAGAGGCTGTGGGTCGTTTGTCTACATCTACTTCTAAACATTTATTAAGAAAAAAGAGTGGAGACAGAATATCTTTTTTTTTCAATGTCTGGCTTCCCGTTTGTTGCTATTAGATACAATACCTGAATACCAATTTACATCAGGCAGGATGTAGTACTGCCTAAGAGGGATGGCTCGGATTGTTCATCAAAATGGTTTTTTAAATATCTCCTCAAGAGATCATCAGAACTTTACAATACTATACAGTTGTTACGTATCTGCTCGTTTGATAATTTCCGGTATAAATTCATTCCAAGGAACTTCAGCGATACAAGTCCTTTCTTAATTTCAACTAGTTTATTCTTTTGCGATACAACTTTGCAATACACAGAATTGCCGCAGTCGCTTTAACTTAACTACTTTTATAAACAAGCTATAATTCACAGCGATTCACACACTTTACTTACGGTGCCTACTGTTCACTTGACTCAATTATCAATTATTTCTCTTCAATCTATCTCTGGCTTATATACTAAAAAGAGGGCGTCTAGTAAACGCTGGGACATTCGCAAGATTCCCTGATTCTTCTAGAAACTCCAGCGCTCATGCTCCCAGCGTCGCGTGACTTCCGCTGTCGTAACACAGTGTTTTCCTTTATAACAATATTTATGTAATTACTGAGTCACAACTTCTGGGAATGTCTAGTAACTATCATAGCAGAAAGTTTGAATTTCTTGTTCTTAATTTTTCTTCTGCTTCTTTTATATTACATGACAACTCAAAAACCAAAACAATGGTATCAACCAATTTCACTGAGGAGACATAGTTTCAAACGGAGTATCCGTTGTATTAGTGTTGTTAATAACTAGTAGTCATTAAAAAAATCATAATTCTAGTGTAAACGATGTTATCATTACCCCTTGAATTTAGCTTTTTTCGGAATTTGGTTTTCCTTTAAAAAGCTTAAGTACAGAGTGAAACAGGAATTACTAGCCAATAACAGATAAACACTAGATATTACAGTTGGAACCTCTTTGTATTCAGTACTTGGTTATAAATACAACCTTCCTATGTCTATTGAAACACTGCAATTAAAAAACAAGAAAAGAAGTAAAGAAAACTTTCCAAAGTGAATGTATGGATGGCTAATATCAATCGTTCAAAAATGTATTTTTTCTCTCTCATTTCGAAACATTTGTTTCTTCTTTTCAACTCATTTCGGTAACAAGGTGAAATAATGCTACGCTATTGTTACGACAGCGGAAGTCAGGTGACGCTGGTAGCATGTTGGTGAATTTCTTGAATAATCGCGGAACTCCAAGAATGTTGGTGATGCCTCTTTATTAGTATATAAGCCTGGCAGAGAAAAGCCAGCGGGGAGAAGCGAACAATAGTTACGGTGAGTTCTGTGTAATTTATGGTTCAGTTAGTTTCCAGCTAGTGAGCCGTAAAGTGTGTATTTTGTACTGGTACAGAGCGAAGTTATCGACGTGGTGAATCGCTGTGATTTATAGCGTGTATTATAAAAGTTGTTAAGTTTAAAGTGACGAGAAACGTACTAACTGTGGAATTACTGTGTACTAAAAGTTTGTATCGAGAAAGAATAAAGTGCTTTAATCAAGAAATGACTTGTATCGCTGAAGTTCCTCAGAAAGAATTTCTACCGGAAATTAACAAACAAGCAGATACGTAACACTATATTAACATTAAATATATTTTTGGCCGTTACAAAAGCTTTTTGTCCTGATGATAATTTAAGGGTTGCGCTACTAAATATGTGGTATACAAGAATATCATACATTTTCTACCTTCTTATTATGATATTTTATTACTTGAAATTTGTCAATTATTCTGTTATGTGTAGTTTTCGCATAACACGTAGATAATATATAGTAATTAAGCTGATTTCGTTCCAGTTGCCTTTGTTCCTTTGTACTTCTCTGGAGATAACATCTGATCTTCCCATGAATTCATGACTGCAATGCTACATGTTGTGTCGGATTGTAGACAGCAGAATCCTCCAATGGAAGTTCAGGAAGTTCTCGATGTTAAAACCTGTCTTATGTTTGAATGAGAACGACATATACATGAGTAGCGCTGGTCACTCTGGATAAATCTAATATTACCTATTAAATAAGTAACATTAGATGTAGATAGTTTGGTAGAAGTTATTATCAACTGTAGTTTGAAGAAAGAACAGCTCAGCTTCAAGGAAAACTAAAGTCTGTCATATAAAAAACTATACACACTGTGTTTGTATTATTTGATAAAGATACTCATTCCGTTTAATGTCCAGTTTTTTTATTTCTATTTCAAACTCAATCAAAGTTTGAGAATTTAAAATTATTTCACGGTAGATATCTTTTCGAATCTTCTATTATTCAGCAAATCTATTGTATTTTTTTTTTTTTTTCAGAATAATTAGTTTGACCTAAACATACTACATAACATCATTATCACTGTCGATTTTATCTACTATTCTGTGAGTTGACCTCTCAATTATATTCAAACAGAAGTTTATCGTAATTGATAAAGTCCGTCAATTGAATATGACCAAAATACTATGGTCTAACCTATCAAAATTACTAAATGATCCAAAGATATCTTATATGGTTAAGAATTGGACTCTGCTTAAGAAAGATATTTTAATTAAGACATTGATACTGTTACTCTGAAAGCAGGCATAGGGTGTACTTTTTTGTGGAAGCATTATCCTATTAGAAAAACCCTTTGACCTGTTATCTAAGTCAAAAATAATTCTCCCTTCACCCTTAAAAGGTATTTATTTGGAATCTCGTAATATCTATAAGTATGTAAACATGTCACAGATAGTCAAAATTAACCCATTGTATTTACTCTGGTGTTATAGCTTTAGTCTATAGGAAGTTGAGAGAAATGAAGAAACTAGGTGATAAACTCGAAAAAGAAGTAAATATGTCAATCGTTGCTGTTGTAATTTGCTTTACTGAATACTTACATATGCTTATGTAAATTTCCTACACATGACAGTGTATATAAGGTGCCAGAAGTAACCTGTCTCAAAGTAACGTTGAACAACTCTGCTGTTTATCAAGGCTAACTAGTGATCCGTGTTAGATAGTTGATTATTCGTCAACGTCGGTTAATGGTCGCCAATTTTAAAGTAATTCATGGTTAATAAATGAATGATCCGTAAAATTACTAGCAGATGCATCAATGGCAAAATTTCGAAAATACGAACAACTAATTCTCATGCTACACAAAACAAATATTTTTAATTGAAATACGATACATTTCACTCTTCAGCGATGGCTTTGTTTATTTTTAGTTCAAAGTTACATAATAGACCATTTGAGCTTTGTTCACCACCTGGAATTGAACCGTGGATTTTAACATTGTAGGTCCATAAACTTACTGCTCACCCAGTGGGGACTCCAATGTTTCAAGGGAAAAGCTTATTAATAGGTTACTAGAGAATGTTAAGAATAAGTGACAATAGGAGTGATAGAGGCAATAAATATATATAGCTTGGAACCAGATGTGACCAATTGGCCTACGTGCTCGGACTGTGAATCTCATGGTTCATGGTTCACAGCCCTTTTTCAGCAAAAATTTACTCAGAATATTTGAGTCTTAGTTACTTTATAAGAGTGATGGTCAAAACCCACAATTTGGACAGAAAAGAGTAGCCCAGGAGCTTATAGCAGTGTTGTTAACTAGTTGCCTTCCACGTAGTCCATCTGTTCAAAATTAGAGATGACTATGTGTAAATAGCTCTTTTTATAGCTTTGAGTGACAATTCTGAAACAAACGAACAAGAAATATTCAATTGGTTGCTGAATATCAACATTGTGGATATAGATGCATGGACATTGGAGGATAAGGAAATACTCAGTTGAAGCACTCGATTAAATAAAAATGTATTAGCCTAGGTGAAAATAAAAATAATTATATAAACTTATAACTAGACATTCTTTGACGTAGTATGTACAGAGAGGACAGGTATTGATGAAATTAAACAAACATGGTGAGAAGTTAAATAAAACACTTTTATATATTAAATAAGGTAAATAAAAGTTGTTTAATCAGCTGAGTGTAAAACTATTTATTTCGTCAATGGATTAGATTAAAACAAAATGAAAATTAAATGAAAAGGTTAAATAAATG